GTCCCAGCTACTTGGGAGGCTGAGGCAAGAGAATCACCTAAGCCCAAGAGCTGGAGGTTGCTATAAGCTGTGATAATCACAGCACTCTACTGAGGGGATAAAATGAGACTGTCTCTATTAAAAAAAAAAAAGATAAACTTCAGTTTCTAATTGTTATATCATTACAGAGAAGGTACTACTATTGCCTTAACCTGAGTTTAGTTAAGCCTGTCAGTGTTCCCTATCCTTGAACTGTGGTGATTTAGTTCAGGGATAGACATATGACACAGTATAAATGATCTGACTCATGAGGGAATGCAGCCTCCCCACAGTTGACCAGAACCTACCGGAACACTTGTGTGGATGTGTGAAGAAAGATGTGAGGCTTGGAGCTGTTGCCATGAGGGGCTCTCGCTTGAGAATTAAGTAGCCACAGGAAGTACAAAGGAAAAATGAGACCATAGTGCTAGTGATAAGTCTGGATCAAATTGCTCCTAAAATTTCTTTAAGCTATAGGACCCACTAAATACAATTTTAGTTTAAGCCTGTTTGTGTTTTCTGCTAACTTGGACCAAAAAATTCTTAACAATTACTTTTTACAATAGGATAAATATACTTCACAGTCTGCCTGTTCTTCACAGGCTGTTAGGTATCAGCTGTCTACCTTTTGAGCCTCAACTCTGCTATCATTATGAAGAAGGCTATGACATCTGGACCTTTGCTCATGCCCAAAGCTGACAGGTTTCCCAAGTACATGCAAACTGCATGTTTCAGGATCCAATAGAAAGTCCCAGGTCTGTGCCTTAAGCCCAGCATTTGAGAATGACTCCCAGCATGAGACTCCAGGATATCAATACACTTCTGTACCCTCAGAAGCATCTCTCATCTTCAAAAGACTGTCCAGAAGAGCCAGTTCACCAACATGTTTTGCAGCATTGCCTCAAGGCCTCTTAATTTGTTTGCAGTGAATCAAGTGATTCTACAGGGCATTCCTTTTTGATCATTTATTCATTGTTCACAGCTCCCTGCTTTCTCACACCAATCTAATCATACCATCTTTTAAGCCTGTTTCTCCTTCAAAGGGAAGCTTTGCCCTTCCTGCCAGGCTTCTTATACAGTGCAGGTATGTCCAACCTTTTTTTTTTTCTCTGCCTTATATTAGAAGCATAAGAGTTGTCTCAAGCCACACATTAAATACACAAACACTAATAAAGCCGATTAGCAAAAAAAGGGTCCATACTTAACTTTTGTGATATCTGACATCACGGAAAAGCAAAAATAGTCCTCACAAAATCAGCACGGGGCCCATGGCCATAGGTAGAACATCCCTGTTATAGTATTCTCCCAGGTCCCCCAGAAAGGCACCATTATGTCCATCCCTTCCCCAGGTCCATATCCCAGCATTCTCTATAGCAGTGGTTCTCAACCTTCCTAATGCCGTAATGTATTTTCATTGTTTGTTTGTTTTTTGCTTTTTCTTGTTTTTTTAGAGACAGACTCTCAGTCTGTTGCCCTTGGTAGACTGCTGTGGCGTCACAGCTCACAGCAAACTCTAGCTCTTGGGCTTAGGTGATTCTCTTGCCTTAACCTCCTGAGTAGCTGGGACTGCAGGTGCCGGCCACAGTACCCAGCTATATTTTGTTGTTGCAGTTTGGCCGGGGCCGGGTTTGAACCAGCCTATTTTGGTATATGGAGCCTGACGCCCTACACACTGAACCACAGGTGCCGCCTTTTCATTGTTAAAAAGGGGTCATGACCCACAAGCTGAGAACTACTGCGCTATAGCTTACCCTGCTTTATTTTCTTCACGCTGCTTGAAAAATACCTGCTTGGTCATGTTGGTCTGTAAGCTCCACTGGGCCAGGACTATACTCCCTGGTTCACCAGAGATTGTCTGGGTATTGTTAAAATAAGTTAATAGGACGGCGCCTGTGGCTTAGTGAATAGGGCACTGGCCCCATATACCAAGGGTGGCAGGTTCAAACCCGGCCCTGGCCAAACTGCAACAAAAAAATAGCTGGGCACTGTGGCAGGCACCTGTGGTCCCAGCTACTTGGGAGGCTGAGGCAAGAGAATCGCCTAAGCCCAGGAGCTGGAGGTTGCTGTGAGCTGTGTGACACCACAGCACTCTACCAAGGGCAATAAAATGAGATTCTGTCTCTAAAAAAAAAAAAAGTTAATAAAAAACTTTAGAGTTTGAAGGAGGCTTCAGAAGCATAGCTGATTGACTTCACCAAATAATTTTTGATATCTCTCTTTCTCAGAAGAAGAAAACAAGGTTCTAAACAGTTAAGCAGTTTTGCACAAGAACACCCAGTTGTTGAGGGGCACAGACATGATGTAGTCTCCCAAGCCACATGCCATGGATCAAACCAAGTAAAAACTCTCTTGCTGTGGCCACAGGCTTGGGGGGGCAGGGAGGCTCAAAACAACAAATTTGCACATGCTTTCCAAAGTACAAATGCCACCACTCCTGGCTACTATTTACTGGAGCCAGATACTTAGCATGTGTTATACATTAAAGTCCCAGAACAGCTCTTCCAGGGGGCATTTTTTCAGTATTTTCATTTTACAGATGAGCAAACAAGGGATTTGCTCAAAGTTAGGGCAGAAATTTGAGCCCTGGGTGGTGATATAAGACAATTAGAAGCTAGGGTATCAAGGCCTCTCCCCAAATACTCTTGGTGTGAACGTCTCTGTATGTGTGCCCTCACAGAGCTGAGTTAGAACATCTTTGGGATACGACCCTAGGATCAGAATTATAAAGTCAAAGGGATTGGTTGTGCATACTTTGCCATACTTGGGGTGTCACATCTGCTCTAGGTATATAGAGCTCCTCTCTCTTCCTGGGTTAGGCCAACACCTCCATGAGAGGCCCACTGTCTCTTGCGTCCTTCCTGGGGATGGGACTAAGCCCACCACTCCGGAGCCACTGGAGAGGGAAGAATATCCTCCCAGACTGAGGGCTTAAGACCAAAATATTCTGTGCCCACTCCCATGTCTACTGTTGCCCAGTTTTTGGAAAACCAAAAGCCCATGGAAGGTGCAGACCACACAATGAAGTCATCAGGAATGTCAGGACCACAGGCGTCAAGGAAATGGCTGGTGAAAACACTCAAGGCTTAAGACCCCGTCGTGGGGTCCTTAGAGGCCTGTCTCAGGCCCTGCCAAACTTCTGTGTCAGCTTTAAGTAGCTCTGAGACCCTGGGAAAGTCTCTGAACCCATTTGGGTCTCCTCAGAGTTGCTCATAAGTGAATGGGTGAAACAATCCCCACCCACGTCCCTGAGGTCTCGCGAGGAACCGGGCTCAGGAGGCAGATGTGGAATCCCTGGCGGAAGCCCTCCCTCTCAGAAGCGCAGCAGCAGGTAACAGGCTCCGCCTGGCGCCAACCCGGAAAGGCCGGAGGAGCTAGTCCAGGTGAGTTCTTGTGATTGGCAGGATCGGAAGGAGGGCTTTGGTGTTGGAGGCCCCGCCCTCTCACGTCGGGCCCGTTGGCGCCAGCTCGGAGGAGGTGGGCGGGGCCCAGGGTCCGCGTCGCCCATTGGGTTTTGGGGGGGGAGAACCCCCAGTAGGCCTAAAGCTCCGCCCCTGGCCTTGCGGCAGCCAATGGGCACAGCGCATGGGCGGGGCGGCTGCGGCTGCCAAGCGGCTGAAGTGGCTGAGGTGGCCGCTGGGGCTCAGGCAGCGGGTGCGGCCAGGATGGCGAAAAGCAGCAGAGAGAATGGGCCGCGCGCTCCCGCGGCCGAGGGAAGCCTGTCGGGGACTCGGGAGAGTCTGGCTCAGGGCCCCGACGCCGCAACCGCCGACGAGCTCAGCTCTCTAGGCTCCGACTCCGAGGCCAACGGCTTCGCCGAGCGCCGCATCGACAAGTTTGGTTTCATCGTGGGCTCGCAGGGCACCGAGGGCGCGTGAGTAGCGCCGGGGATCGGAACCAGGAGCGGTGTCCTCGCGGGGGGAGGGGATATGAACGGGAACAGAGCCTGTCTCTGGACCGACTGGCGTGTCTCCTTCCCAGGCGGAGACGGCCGACCCCTTCTCTCCTCTGCCCCACCCCCACCTCCCTCCTCCCTCCTCCCTCCACAGACCCGCCCCCCTTTGGCGGTCCTACTTCCGACCTAGGGACTGCAGGCCGACACCCCCAGGCAGACTGACCTGTCCTCCAGGAAGGACCAACAGTGCTGTCTTCTCAACTGAGGGGCAAAGCGACAGACACCTGCTCCTGACCCACTGCTGCCACCCTGGCCTTAGGGCTGATTAGCTTTGCCACCTCCTGACAGGTTCATAAGTGGTTGGCGCCATCCCCCAAACAGATATTTTCCATCTCTTCCCCCACCCCAATAGACGAGCTGTGTCACTCCCTCCCTGCCTCCACACCGGGACACCTTAGGCGGACTTCAGTAAGATGGCACTGCCCCATCCCAGGACGGACTGACCTCTGGATAGACTGACAGTGGAGTGCTCCCTCACAGTCCCATCATGGGACAGACAGTCCTGTACCCTCATGGAAGACTCAGAACTCTGAGAACTGTCCCCTTTCCCCCTCAGCTTTGTTTACTGTCCCTGGCAACAGGTGGACCCATACTCCACCTTCCCAGTACCAATCAGGTGACGGTACCCCACCCCTCCAGGGCAGACTATTAGCTCCAACAGCCACAGGAGCCAGCAGGCAAGACTCTGTGTATGCTGTTGGGGATATGCATCTCCCCACAAAGCACAGATCTGCGGGGGAAGGGCAGACAGGGAGACAGCAGGGTTTCTGCTCATATAGCACACCCAAATACCCCCACCTCTAGCGCACCCAGGCACCCAGCTGGCAGATAGGGAAATGTGAGGCAGTGGAGCAGAACCTTTCCTCTTAGCGGGCTGCACTTTGCCCCACACAACCCCCTGAGCCCAGTCTTTAGGGAGATTGTATGTACAGGCTGGCTGACCTCTTAGGGAAGAATGGACTCCAGATCCCACTCCCTTCTGTGCTGTCTTGACTAGTGACAAGTCTCCCTCCTTCCCATTCAACAGAGTCAGCCCTTCACAATCACCAGTGGGGGCCCATAGGGTTCATTCATGACTCTACTCCACAGAGTATCCTTCCTCTCATTCTCTGACCAGTTGTGACTGTCCAAGGTCTCCCCAGCCTCTCTCATGACTTAAGGAAGTATCTTGACTAAACACCCCACCCTACACAAGCAGCCCCATAAAGGTCACTTCCAGGATTTTCCCCAGCCCCAAAGCCTCTTATTCACCAGGTGGCCTTCTCTTTAGGAGAAACCTAGGCTCCTCCCTTAAGGGGAGGGTTCCCTCCTATCCACTGGATCTGTCTCCTCCAGCCCCTCCCCACTTTCTTACAGCAGCCTAGGACTGAGAGCACTACTTGATGTTCTGACTTGATTCCCAGGGATCAGCTTGTGAAAACCCCAAAGAGACTTAGAGTGTGATTTTGAATTGGGGAGCAAGTCACTGGGAATCAGGGCCCAAGAGGAGTTATGATCTTGAGAGCTGGGAAAGGAATTCCCAGTTGCATTTATGGGATCTTGGAAAGAAGAGCTCAGATTAGTTGATGAATTCTAGGGCATGAGAATTCCTACTACATGGTTTTAGGCAGTCAACCAAACTTGGGGTGGAAGGAGGAAGACTTAGGAATCATACTTGTTGGCTGTGTGACCTTGGGCAAGATCCTGAATTTCTGAGCCTGTTTACTTACTATAAAGGGCATCAATAACACCTACTTCAAACATTATGGAGGTTATAATGAGATCAGGTATGCAAAGGTGCCTAGTACAGTGCCTGGCACAAATAGTGGCCAAAAAAATGTTAGTTTCCTTTCTTTTCCTTCTAAGGGTCTGAGAAATGAGGAGAAAAATGAGGGCATATCTCTGGTATTTGTGGGCAGACAGAGGCCCCAGTGGGAGCACCTCCCTTTGGCTGTAGTCCGCAACCAGGCAGCCAGACATCTGTCTTCCCCACCCCACAACCACAAACCCGGGATGTGGCTCTGCAGATGCCTTCTACATCATGGGTGTCTGTAGGGCTGAGGCTGAAGTGGGATCCCTGGTCTGCTTCTCTGTCCTGCCTCACTTTCTTGAGCTTGTTGGTCGTCCTAAAACCTCTGGTATCTGAAAGCTTCAACGTTCCCTGCTTAGTTTATACTGTGATTTCAAAAAAGCCAAGAGTAAGTCCCTGCTCAAGGCCTTAAGAGGGGAAGTTATGAGAGATTTCAGGGTGACTGAACCCAGTCTTATGGTTAGAGGGGTAGGAGTTTTGTGTGCTATACTAGAAAAGTGAAACATTAGCACTAATGGCTGCAGAGAAGATGATGGGCACTCTGGTTTCAGATTAAAGGTCCATTTCAGCTACTCTGGGCCAAAGGTTGTCTCAAGACAGTTTAGTTTTGGTATTTTCCAGGGTTTAGGGGGATGGGGAAGAAAGCAAGTCAGAGGCTACCTTGCTCAGATGGCTATTAGGTACCTGGCATGAGTAGGTCAAAAAAATTATAGACTATTTGAGCTGGAAGGGATCTCAAAAGATCAACCAGCTTAGTGCTTACTTATTATACAGATGAGGAGACTGGGGCTCAGAGAGAGTAATTTGCTTAAGATCACACAGCATGTCAGTGGCAGATCCAGGACTTGAACCCAGGGTTTCAGACAATCGGGTCAATAAAGTTTCCACTGCCTTTGCCATCCATAAATATGGCTTGTGGCCCCTGCAGGAAATCAGGTGTCAGACAAGTAGAAGGAACCTGTCTGCCCTCATCTTTCCTGGCTTAGCTCAGCACTTCTGACTCCCCCAGCAGTGTAGAAGGCTAACAGGGTAATAAGAATGTGTTGTCGGGCGGTGCCTGTGGCTCAGTGGGTAGGGCACCGGCCCCATATACCAAGGGTGGCAGGTTCAAACATGACTCTGGCCAAACTGCAACAAAAAAATAACAAAAAAATAGCTGGCCGTTATGGCGGGTGCCTGTAGTCCCAGCTACTCAGGAGGC